AGGAAAAGATCAAGAGATAGCCAATTCACTTTATTTACTTCTTAGATTTATATCCTACCTTCAATAGGAGCTGCACAGTACTCCTCTCCTATTTTTCCCAAATGACAACAGCAATTCTGTTGTAGTTGGGTTGGCAGTGACTGACCTCATGTCATCCAGTGAGCTTCCGTGGTTGAGGATGGATTTGAACATAGGTTTCCTCAGTGTCCATCCCTTAACCAGTATACCACTGTTTTTCAACAATAGTTTACTTTGGAGAGAGGGTTAGTAGTTATGGTTGATTGGCAAGGCCTCTTGGATTAAAACAGGACTGCCTTAATAGAAAAACAAATAAAAGGGTTAATTTGTTCAAGCAGAACAGAGTTGGGTAGACAGGAAACTAATAGCTCTGGAACAATCCAGACGCAGAAGAAATTCAGGCTTGCGGTTGAGAAACCCAACTGCAACCTGAAGCAAAGTGATCGCTACAAGCACTACAACCCACCCTTACCCACACATCTCTTTGGGGTTCACTCAGTAAATGGATCCTCAAGACAGACCACAAGGTAGAAGTGGCAGGAAGAGAAGATTGTGTGATGACGGGCCTGCAGCGTCTGCAATCAGTTCCTAGCTTGCTCTCCATCTGCTCCAGGTCCTTTGGGCCAGGAAGCCCATTTGCAGCAAATACAGTGGAGGATCAAGGATTCACTTAATTTAACAAGCTCTTGGCTATGCACTGCATAGCAGGGGAGGCCAAAGGGGATGTGGTTGCTGGAGCTATTGCTGTCAGGGCACGGCACAAACAGCATCTGACAACTGCAACCTCAGTCTTTATGCCCGGCTTAATTTTACCTTAGTCTCTTTTTATTTCACTAACAGCCTTACATTTTCCACTTGAGTTGCCTGATAACCCAATGCTTTTTGGTTCCCATGGCAACAAGTTGCCTGCAACTCCTTCAACTCAAGTTTATGCGCTCATTTCAATATATGAAATTATTAATATCAGTGGTGGGATTGTCTCGGAAGGCCTTTCCTTTGAGCATTATTTACTATTATTATACATGCTAATTTTTGTGGATCAAAATTGATCAAAGATGAAGTAATCTGAGCTTCTTGCCTCCTGTGGTATTCTGAGGGGCAGCCATTAAATGTAGCAGAGTGCTTATATGTGGGAATTTTTATTTTCTTCCTGTGGCAACAGATTTTCCTTGACTAGCCCTAATTCTGCATGTCAGCTGCTATTAAAAATACAAGCGCAGGGATAGTAATAACCATAAAAGTGGGCAATCTTGATGTTGTGAATTAATGTAATCTGTTTAATTATCTTTGAAACAAACAAAGAAAAGATATTCACTCCAATTCTGTAAAGGAAAGTTCATTCTAAATAATTACAGAACAGCCAGAACTTCTTTTGGACAGATCGCTATTTGGAATGGTCATTAAAAAAATAATCTATGTGAACATTTAGCGAATGAGTGCTTATTTGGAAGGATCTAAGAAGAAATGGGAATTAAAATGTAAAAAAAACCTTGGAAAACAATAGTAAAAATGGTTCCAGAAGATATCAAAGATTTATTTAATGAGTTCCTTTGAGTCCATACTGCCTATGGCTACTAGACAATTACCAGAGAGCTTTCTATATCTCTCCACTACAGACCGGATTTGGCATCCCAGATTTGGTAGCCTTAATACAGCCTTATGTGGAACACAATAATCTGAATAACAATGAAGATAGTAACTGAATATGCATGTGATTCTTTGAATGCAGTTAAAACAAAATACCTGTACAGTATAATTTATATAATTTGACCTATGAGTTTTTACAGACTCTACACATAAATTCCATAAATAAATGAACAAACAAATAAGTAAAATAATTGTAGAGATGGCTTATAAATGATTCTCAAATGGCAGCTATCTTTTCAAACTTCACCTTAGGCTTAGAATACCTTCATCAAAATATACTGCTCAAAAAAATAAAGGGAACATTTTACCATGGAACTGAAGGGGTTTGCGTTCCCTTTATTTTTGTGAGCAGTATATTTCACAAGGTTAGCAAATACTGAAGCCTCCTCCTCACTCCCGCCAAAATAAGTTAGGGTCTTTTATAGTACAATCCAAGCCATTGTCTGAAGTTGCAAAGAGACCAAACCACTCTAGTTTGCCATGTATCAAAATTGATGGCCTTGCCATTGTGGCACCATAATTAAATCATTCTTCTATTCCAGATTGAATGGAATTGATTTCAAAGAGATACAAAGAGTTGAACATGACCTGAATATCTTGCCACTTCCCACATCTTGTTAAAGAGAGATTAATGTACATCTTGTTACAGAGAAAGATAATGTATTTTATTTTGGCTTAGTTACCGTTCAGTTGGGATAGCTTATTTAGCTTTCGGCACAAGAGCATAAGAAGGTTGTTGACAAGAAATTCTAAGAATAGTATACAGATGCTAAAAGGGTCAAGAAGACAAATATATGAGAAAAAGCTGAAGGAACCGGATATCTTTAGGGCTCCTTGCAGTTTTCAAACTGTTCCAGGGCCTTTTTTCTGACATTAGGGAATTCCATGGAGATGTGCAACATTTACTCAGCTGACAATTCAATGTAGGCTGCAGAAAGATTTCTGGAGGGCAAGAACTATGAAATCCATTAGTTTGGGGGGGGGGGGAAGCCTGGAGGAGAAGCATAGATGAGACAATTGTTCATGTGAGGAAGAATGGAAAAATTATTCATCCTATCTGCTAAAAGAGCAGGGAAAGAGGCAATAAGATTAAATTTAGGAATGACAGAGGTTTCATGTCAGTGTGGATGAATGTGCAGAATAGATACTGTTGTTTATTGGGGCCCAAAACCCTTCCAGAGATCTTTGCTCAAAGAAGTGTTTCTCTTTTAGCACGGAGAGCTTGCCAGTGCACAAACAAGTATTTTGTCACTGGGTAAATGGGAACTTTAGCTAGTGTTTCAGTTGCTATTTCAATTGTTGGGCAAAATGTGATTGCATAAGGGTCATAGGCTATACACCATTATGTCCATCAAAATCAAGACCATACCACTTGAGCAAGGGGTGCCTCATCTAGCACCTAATTCTGTACAAAGCAATGCCCTTCCACTTCAACAGTGTCTCAACATTTCAACAAACTTTACCCCCTCCCCTAAGAAAAATTGTTCTAACAGCCTTGGATCTTTCTAGAATAATTCCGTCACAAGATACAACGTAATGATATATGACAAGTAACCTCTGATAGCCTCATCCATTCAAATGTCAAGTGATATTATCAGGTTAAAAATAAAACCGGCAATAAATTCCTCCACAGGATTGCTTGATCATACCTAAGGGCCTGCTTAGATGTAGCTTATATTAAAGATCAGGACAAGATATGAGAATGCAGCTATGAAGGCCAAATTTTACTTAGAACATTGTCTCTAAATAAAATAAAATTTCTATTTCAGACTATGATAATCCCTGAGGAAACCCAAAATCTCTTATATATGTGCTCTGCCGCAAACTGCAGTGACTCTGTGTGTGTGGTGATGTCATTGCACAAATGTGACTTACTTGAATCACAATGTCTGATTCAAGTACATAAGTCACAGCATCCGTATGACATCATTATGCATGTTTTCTTTGCATCCTTCCCATGGATACTTTATTTGTACATTTTTTAAATTTGGTAGCCCTAACAATTTAAGGCAGGTTGTTTTGTCTCTTTTGAAATTGATTAGTGAATTATACCAAAAATACTTTTTTGGGCTTACTTGTTTTAAGGGGACCTTTTCCAGTACAGATTTTAATTGATTGGACAGTTGGACAAAAGTCTGTCTGTCATAATTTCCACTACAAGACCTAACACTAAACTGCAATTCCTGAGGCAGATTCCATGGGGACCTAATCATTATTTTAAATAAATATTAGAAGAGCCGTGACTTATTGGATCATTGCTTCAGCGATATTTTCTTATCAGATTCCTCAATGCCTTCAACAATGGCAGAGCTTCTAATGTACTTGAAAAGGTCTTAAAAATTCAGGGAAATATTCATGGATGTATCTGCCTTAATGTTGAACTGTATAGCACAGTCAAACATCAGCACAGGAAATGTTTTATGACATTATGTATTATATCATAAACTGATTTATGATAATGTTTATGTCATAAAACATTTTATAAAATTGGTCAAATTTCTATTCCATGGGAGTCATGGACCGGTTTTGGGATGCATTCTGTAAGTTAGTCCATTTGAGGTACTTTGGTTGAAAAGGCTTTGCACCATTTCTCCCAGTTAAAAGTCACAGACACAAGAGTATTAGTAGTATATAGATGGGAACCCATTCTTAACACATAACTCTTACTGACAGAAATGATAAATACCTTCACTTTCGTGTTCTTGAGTCACAGACTGGGGTACAGAATCATGGCTAAATTAGTATTTAATATACGTCAAGTGAATTGAGCACTGCCTAGGCCAAACTATAATGACAAAGCAGTTAGAGTGACAGTACTCCCTCATTTTCTGAGAGGGGAAATATAGTCATCACTAATTTTTTGAACAGAGGTTATGTTTGAATGAAATCTTCTGAAACTTGACTGTTAATTGCTTGTCACTTGTAATTATAAGAAATCATTTACATCTTGGATTTGCAAGAACTAAAACTAAATCCCTCACTTCCCAGTAATAGGTACTACTTTAAAAAGATTTAAAGTATTTGGACTAGGAGACTTGGAATCATCACAAAGCAATCTGAGAAACAGTTTAAATTTTCCCTTCGATTTTCAAAACATACATAATGTACTTTTAAAAATATAAGAAGAGCCAGACTTCTCCTGGATTAAACCAAAAGCCTATTTAATCAGCATCCATTTCTGCAAAGACTATCAGAAGCTTCTGAGACATTTGAGCATCAAATTTTGTTTTAATTCCTTACTGGTTGATATTTATATTTAGAAGATATTTCAGTGATCTTTTTAGGTCTGCTCTACATTTTTTTCTTCCCCTTCCCCTTCCCCTTTTCCTTTACAGATTCCAAGCAGAATGGCGATGCAGCAAATGCAGCTCTGGCTAATGAAGACTGCCCCACAATTGATCAGGCCCTGTCACCTGAGGAGAAGTCACCTGTCACACCTGGTGGCCGAGAGCGCTATAATCGTGACCGAGCCTGCTTCCTCCTCTCCACAGGTGATTTTGGGCAGTCACCTGATGGAAACATCCGAAAAGGTATGTGTACATATGTCACCATCATTTTCCCCTGCCTATTTCTGCAAAGCTTGCATTCCGTCCTCTAAGCTTGTACCCAAGTACGTTATCTTCCACCCTTATCACTAATACCACCATAACCTTTGTCTTAGTAAAACGTAGAGCTGCCACTTTTCAGGGATAAAGGAGACAATTGCAAATATGTAACTGACTTAAGTAAAAGCCTAATCTTGAGATCAAGATGGGCAGATAATGTCCTAGCAACCAGCGAGGTCTCCATTTGTTCGACTCTAGTGCTTTAATAACAGAATGCATTGCTCAAGGGACAGCATTATCTCATATAACCTTTCCCAACCTGGTGCTGCCAGATCTGTTGAACCATAATCCAGAATACCCATTGGTCAAACTGACTGGGAATTCTGAGAACTGTAGTCCAGTCTATCTAGATCAGCCTTTCCCAGATTGAAAAAAAACTGCCATAATACCTCTTTCCAGAAGACAGTCCATGAACACAGCTAATTTTGAGCAGTTGAGATTTTGGGGCGAAGCTTGATTCTCCATCAGCATCGGCAGTCCATTCTTTTCAAAACTCTGTTACATAATTATGTGCACAGTTCCCTAGCTTCATTACCTCATCCCTTCCCTCAACAGAGTAATGTTTCCCTTATCAGCTTTTGCTTTTTCATCAGTTTCCCCCACCCCACCATGTTTTCTCCCCATAGGTATCATTCTGTCTTCCAATAGTAGCCTGCAGTTGCTCTTCAGGTGTTTCAGATTGTTCTTTTAAGGGAGATAGCAGCAAATGACAACTAGTTATTTTACAGGGATTTATTGGAAGGGCATGGAAGTGGCCATAAAGTGTTTGAAGTTATTTCCCATTCTCCAAATTTGTTATAAATAGAAAAAAAGTAAAGCTTGAGCCTAATTGATTTGCTTCAAATTCCTGCAACATTTTTATCTGAAACATAGAAATAATAAGGTTCTAGTCAGACATCTTGTAATGAGAGATTTTCCCCATTGTAAACCTTGGGCTGGTTTTAGACCAGTGTTTCTCAACCTTGGTCACATTAAGATGGGTGGATTTCAACTCCCAGAATTCCTTAGTCAGTTAATGCTGGCTAGGAAATTCTGGGAATTGAAGTCCACCCATCTTAAAGTGGCCATGGTTGAGAAACACTGTTTTAGATTATCAGCTTAATTGAAGACCTACTAGCCTAACTGAAGAACCACTAGCCCGAGGTTCCCCAAAATGATCATTATCAACTCCCAGGGGTTGAGGGGACCATCCAAGGGGTTGATGTTGCTGATGTTGGGAAATACTGAAGGCCAAAGGAGAAGGGGATGGCAGAGGATGAGATTGTTAGACAGTGTCATCCAAGCAGCGAACATGAATTTGGGCAAACTCCAGGAAACAGTGTGGAGGACAGGGGAGCCTGGGGTGCTGTGATCCATGGGGTCAGACACAACTTAGCAACTGAACAACAACAACAATAAATATTTATTAAATCATTCCCATATAATAAATGTTTGGGGAGGATCAATGAAGAATCTGAAGCTTCATGAAGAGGTTGATAAGCTGAAGAGTTTGGTGACTCCTGTATTAGCCAAACACAGCTGAACTCTTTTGTAAAACAAATAAGTTGCCATATAAAAGAGAATCATGTTCCTTCCACTCATCTTGTTGGCAGGTAATCCTCGACTTATAACTATTCATTTAACGGATGTTCAGAATTAAAACAACACTGAAAAAAGTGACTTATGACCAGTTCTCACACTAATGACCATTGCAGCATCCCATGGTCATATGATCAGACTTCGGGTGCTTGGCAATCAGCATGTATTACAATGGTTACAGTGTCCTGAGGTCCTGGGATTGTCATCTTCAACCTTCATAGGGAGCTTCTGACAAGCAAAGCCAATGGGGGAAGCTAGATTCACTTAATGACTGCATGATGTACTTAGCAACCGTAGCAAAGAAGGTTGTAAAATGGGGCAAAACACACTTAACAAATGCCTTGCTTAGCAGTGGAAATTTAGGGCTCAATTGTGGTTGTAAGTCGAGGACCTCTCCTGTTCAAAAACCCTGCAGATTCCAACTCTCTTGAGTTCAACCGAGATAGGTCACAAATTTAGCACTGATGTAATTGGGTATGATACACATACAATGCTTCTTCCTCAGTTCCTCCCCCTCTGTTTCCTTCAAAGATCTCTCCTGTCAAATCCTCGATTTGTTTTTAGACTCAAGTGAATCTCAAGAGAGATGTATCAGGAGATTCCAGACTGCTAATTTATGGTCAGGAAGCCCCACACGTAGTGCTTGTCCAGGAACAGTGCATCATGCTCGGCAAGCAACTGGGATCTTTACAACAGGAAGGCTGAAAACAGAGATCTCACAGCTTTTAGGGTCAGGGCTACAATATCTGGCTTGCAAAATCCTGGCTAGACATTACATGGCAACATACTCTGTGTTGCCATCTAGTCATCATCCAAAGTTTTGCAGCTTAGATACAGTCTCTCTGCAGTACAGGTAGTCCACAATTGGGACCAGAATTTCTGTTGCTAAGCAAGGTGTTAGGTGAGAGATGCCTGAGTTTGCAACCTTTTTTGCCATGGTTGTTAAATGAATGATGTAGTTGTTGAATCCAGCTTCCCCCGTTGACTTTGCTTGTCGAAACTGGTTGGGACAGTCACAAATGGCAATCACATGAACAAGGAATGCTGTAACTGTAATAAATACATGCTAGTTGCCAAGCACCCAAATTTGGATCACATGACTGGGGAATATTGCAATGGTTGTAAATGCAAGAATCAGTTGTAAGACACTTTTTTAGTGCCATTATAACTTTGAACAGTTGCTAAACCAATGGTCAAGGAGTACACGTATTCATGATTGACCTCCAAATCAGTGTTTATGGATAAATCAGCAAAATTTACCTAATCTTTATTAATTCTATTATTCTATTCAAAAATTCCCAAATGGTCCATATTGCTTTTTTAAAAAATCACTCACGCTAACTGCATGACCAAATAACTGGTTAGGAAAATACTAGGTTGTTGCGGTTAACTCTGGAATAGTGATAATTGACTTTAGACTGTCAATGATACATCTGAAATTAATATTGCTAGAAAAGTCATCGGCCATTTTTATGGAACTTAGCATCAACTCTTTGCAGTCCTTCATTCTGCATTATGTGAGAGTTGACTGTAATTGTGTTCATCTCTCTGTGTGAAAAAGAATAAGAGATTGTGATCCCTCTAGCTCAGGAGTCATCGTCAGCATGTTTATGTGCTGTGTAAGTTCTGGTCTAGCATCTGTCAGAAACTGATCTTAGCAGCAGGCAAACTTTCAAACAGAGACAAGGTTGCCCCGTCACAGCAGGCAAACAGGAGGTGACAGCAAATGAAAGCTGACGGTGAGTTTAATTCCACCAAGGAAGCGAGAACACAACAGACCTTTCATGGTGGTGCACAGTAGAGAAGACCAGCAAGCAATGGGCAAAGAAGAACCACAGAAGTGGAACGATCATCACAAAGTCCAAATTCTGACAATCGCCTTTCTGTTCTAGAGACGTAGACATTCAACCTAGGATTAAGTAGATTACCAAATATTTTCAACTGCAAAGAAAAATGCTTTTACTAACACTCGCAGGATTGTACAGAGCAAGCTCCGCAAGATGCAGGACTCCTGGTTGAGTGCCAAAGCAGATGAAATCCAGAAGTTTGCTGATAGAAGCGATGCCAAACGGTTCTATGAAGCCCTTAGATCCCTGTACGGACCTCAGCCCTCAGGAAGCTCCCCTTTACTGGAT